TCTCTCCTCCTCCTCTCTCTCTCTCTCTCTCTCTCTCTCTCTCTCTCCAATAATCTATTCTACTCCCCTTCTATTCTCGAAACTTTCGCGTCAAAGTTGTTTGTCCACCACACTTGTTCGCATCTTTTTCGCTTCGATTTTTCCTGCTGGGAAAAATCTTTGTACCGGACCAACGTTTCGCGATGTTTCCACGCGATGTCCGAAAGCGAGCGATGCGTCGATTTATGCCGGTCCTGGGAGGAGGGGGGATAGAATAAAAAAAGGGGGGGGGAAAGGAAGAAGAAGAAGAAAGGAAAAAATAAAAACCGAAAAAGAGGGGAAAAAATGGACGACACGAAGCGGAAAAGGGAGAGGTTGGGGGGAGGCGGAAAGGAGAAAGTTGGGGATGGGAGGAGTGAGTGCGAGAGCGAGTGTCGGGGCTTTTAAAAAAACCGAACACAGCACGGTGTCGAGCGCTGAAAGGATGGATACGAAGCTCTTTGAAGCTCGATATCCGCGCTCACACCCGCGCGACATTTCCAACGCCCCCCTCCCCTTCTCCTACTCGAAAACTATCCGACGACAAACTGGCGTCGGATCGTCGATGAAGTCGCAAACCCCGAGTCGCGATTCCACGTCGAATCTTCCCAAGTTGTTGACGTTCGAGAAACGGGATAAAGAGATATCGATTACGCCGATTACGAAAAATAAATAAATAGAAATAAGTTGTTCTTCGATCAAAAAACTCGTCATTTGAATTCCAATCCCTCTCCTTTTTCTGGATACTTAATTTTTCGCGGTCGACGCGGTCAACGCGTTTTTCTCTGCTGATTCTCTTGCTGATCAATCGAAGCGTTTTCCACCGATGAAAGCGCGGGGTCGCGCTCTCGAAACGGATTCGCGACGAACTACATCTGGCGGAAATATATTCGGCCTCGACTTACTCCCCTACGGGGTCGAGAATGCGGGGGTGTAAAAATCGAGTGGCTCGGCGCACTCCCCCGGGAACTCGCGTAAAAAGGAGAGGATTTCCAATATCGCGTCGCTCAGCCATCTTTCGGATCGGCGTTAATGGTCCCTTCCGTTCCCTTCCGTCATCCTTCCGCCATCCCTTCGACCATCCCGTTCGATTCCCAGATTTTTTTTTTACCTTTTTCATGCACACACCCCTTTTTTGTCCTTGGAACGCGCGCATGCGATTCGTTTCCCGAACGTCGAATCCGAGTCGGGACAAATTATAATAGCGTCGTCGACGATAACGACATCGGGGAGAGGGAGGAGGATGTCGGTCGAGAGAATATAGAAATTCTTCTGTAACGAACAACGGTGGAAGGGACGACGATCTCTGCCACGATCTCCAAGTTTTATCGTCGTCCTTTCGAATACGCTACTTTTCGCCCTCGGCGGGAAAAAAGAAAAAAAACGATCCACCATTTTCCTTCTCCTCCTTCTCTCTTCCCCCTCCCTTCCCGTCATCCTCCCGCCTTATCTCCACGGCGAGAAAAGAGAAAACATCGTTTCGCGCGGTTTTCCCATTGTATCGGCCCATTTCTCTCTCTTTTTCTTTTTTTTTTTTTTCTGGGAAACACATTCACGGATTTATCCGTGTAAATACGTTTAAATAACGTGGCGAGGCGATTCGGCCGCAAACAAAACACGGCCGCGATAATTAAATGCCGTTCGCGCCCGTTCGCGCGTTACGGGACAACGTTTTAATCGGCTTTAAAATTGTCGACGAATCTCGCTTCCGCTCCTTTTCCTCGCCTTCCGTTCTGCGCGCGCACGAGTTTCAGAATAGCGTCCAATTTACCACTTTGGATTTCGATTCGATTCGATAAAAAGTTAATCGATGCAACGAGTGCGTCGATCGAAAACGACGGGTTATATGATAATAAATTCGAGACACCGATTATCCCGCCGTTACATCGTACAACCGGCGGCCGTATCGTATTTCCAACCACGCCGAGACTTTGCTCCTCTCCCCCCCCCTCCTGTTTCTCTTCCCTGATATCCAACGCGCGGCGAACGCGAATAATTATTTTACGAGCGTTGTTTGCTCTATCCGGAAAACCGGAGACCGGGTGTCGTTTAAATTCCTATCCTAAGACTGTGGAAACGAAGAATTATATCTGTCCACCGTTCGCTAAACGGAATTTATTCGCGTAACGAACGTGTCTGCGTCGCGCGATAATGTATCTCTTCGTCGTATCTCTTCTCGTCTATCCACGCTTTTCACTTTTTTCCAGACTTTCGTATTTACCGTCCGCGAAATCCACGGCGCTAAACGTTTTCTCGCGAATCTATTTCTATCCAATTATCTAATATTTAAACGAAAAGTCGACAACCGCGATATTTCGTTGGATCTAGTCGTTTCGAAGCGGAATGGGTCGGATGCGACTTCCGTTTTACGATCAACGCCAATTTCGCGGCCTATACTTTATCGAAGTGCGAGCAGGTCGGTTACTCCCCTTACCATATATCGTACCTTGGATGGCAATAATTTTGACAAAGGCTATCATTTCGCGATCGTTGCGAAGGAGTTAGAGCGGTTCCCTCTCCTTCCTGACCGCGATAGAGGGTTTCGAGGTAACGATTCGAGGTGTGCTTTACAGCCGTGCGTGATCCACGTTCCGTGGACGATGAATCGAAGATCGGGGACTGATATTCGAAACTCGACGAGCTCGTTCTTCCGACTCAACTTGCTTCCGAAAAATGGGGGAAAATTTATATCACGGTTGATGAATGATCAAACGTACGCGTGATTCCAAAGGTGGAATACTTTCTAAACGTTTCGATTAGAACGTTTCTCGGCCGAGATAGGCGTGGTGGTTCGTTCGACGGTTACGTGGGTGCGAATATCGATTGCGAACGTATCGCGACGGTTTAAAAACTCGGGAAATTCTTCCGCCTCGATGCTCTCTTTACTTAATTTTCGCGAATGGAGATTTTTAAATACGTAGCTCGTCAAACGAGCTCGGTTTCATTCGCGACTGCTAAAAGCGAGCCGCTACTTTTCTCTCTCTCTCTCTCTTCTTTTTTTCTTGCTATTACGAGACTAACGCTGACGCTCTCCATTCCGCTCGGCCCCGTCTTTTTATCGCTGGAAAAATCCTTGTAACCGTTTCCACCCGCCGCCGCTCGCGAGACGATAAATATTAGCGGAACGTCTATTATTCTCGCGGTGGAAAGAAAGGATTTATCGATGCCATCGTTCCGGCCACCTCCTCCATCTTTCGTCGCTCGGCCGATGGCCTCGTTGATCTTTGATTCTTCCTGCGCTAAAATAAAATCTGGTTCGCGATTTCGAACAACGAAATTTTCTTTTTCTTTCGAAAAGTCGTTCCCACGATACGATAATAAATACGATAATGAGCGACGGTTTATAAAAAAACGGTTTATTGCAAAATTCATATCGAATCTTCTCTTCTCAGCATAGACTGGTTTGCAATCGCGGCAGGTATGGCTGGGCTCGAAAAGGAAAGATGGACGGCGGACATCGATCGAGTCGCGTGGAAAAAGGCGAGCGAATTGTGCGAATGCACGGGATATACATCGCATTCTCCGCGTCCACGCATCAAAGCGTAGACACACGACTTTGAGTTAACGTCGTCCCGCGAGACGACGAGTCGCCACTCGTCTCCCTTCTCGCCTCTATTATTCAAACGATGCTCGTCGCAAACGAAAACGGAAAGGAAAGCGCTCCTTTTCGCAACCAAACTCTTTCTCTCCCCTCTTGTCGCAAATTCGTCCGTTTCCTTCTCCCGCTCCTTCTTCTCGTGTCAAGATTTCGGGAGGGAAATTTCGGGTGGCGGGTCGATAACGTATCGAAAGTTTTGGTAATAAACGCAACGGGAGTCGGTCGCGTTTCGTTCGTGAACGAAATTTCGTTGGTGGAAATTACGGGTAGAAATCCCTCCTTACGCGGCACGAGATTAATCGGTGATCATCTCTCCCATCCACCGCGTGTTTTCGCCCGTGCAGCTCGCTTGATTACACGCGAGCCTCGATAATGGATCACCCGCTGCCCCGTTCACGCTAACAGGACTCTGCCGCTCCCTCACGATTCTCTCCTAACCGCCCGCTCTCCATTTTCCTCCTACCCGATATCGAACGGAATCGATCTTATCCCGAGAGGGATATCTTCCTTTTTTTTTTTCTTTTTAAGATTCGACAAGATTCGAGAAATTATTTTTTTCGCTCGTAAAAATCGGTCGAGAGATATCATACTCGACAGGAAGGTAGAAGATAGGACAGGACGAGGGCACGATTCGGCTGGTTAGCTCGTCGAGTTCTCGAGTGAACACGCGTGTAGTAATTATAAGGGGACAGCTTTGTCCTTGCCCCGTTCGATCCTCGTTACGCGTCCTCCCTTCGCTGAATCCTTTCAACGGCCGCCTATAGTCGTCGACGCGCCGCTGTTCGCACAGGCTGGGAACGGTGCAAAATCGTTGATCGACGATCGATAGTTCTGCGGGACCTCGGTGACGAGACTATTCGTTACGTCGAATTGTGTATAACCGGTAATAGGAAAAAGGATACTTTTTTTTTTGCCTTTTTAATCCTTCAAAGGTCGAGCTTTTTCTCGTTATAAATCGGAGCAAAGGAAAACCGTTTCGAAAGAGTTTACTAATACAGAAAAATGCGATAACAAGCGGTCTTTTTCAAGTGGCTGGCAAATAGGGCGAAAAGAAATCTCGGGCGGTAATTAATGAAATCGTTGCTGCTCGATGCCATAGCGTCGATTTGAATAACGCGCTTGCTGTCATACGCGCATCGATAAAATTTACGGCGGATTCGGGAAAATTAAAATGGAAACGATCGGGGAAAAGCGATGGAATTCGTGGTCGAAACGGAATCTCGGGTTGGAGAGACGCGATAAATTATCGGCAGAGATCGAAGCGACTTTCCTACCTACCGCAACTCGTCCACGCTCGTTTCCTCCCCCTTTAACGCTACTTCCGTCTTGTAACCTTGTTGAAACCGCCGCCGACTCATCTGTCCGTCCCCTTGTCTCGTCGTTTGCCGACGTAACTGGTTCGTTAGCGAGGTTTGATTCGCGAGCAGGAGGGGCCTCCGTTTATTCGGCTCAGGGTTGGAAAAATATTTCTCGAGTATCGGAAACGGAGGAAAGCGGAGAGGGATGGAAGACGAAAAACCGCCTCTTCGCGCGAGTACCAACTCTTTCGTAAACTCGTTCGTAAACTTTGTTCGTTAAAGCGAGTCAATAAAATTCCGATCCTTCTCGCGATGCAACGTCAACTTCAAAGCGTTTCAAAAACGTTTCCCTCTTTCCTTCGAAACGACGCGATGCGATCGAAACGTGATTCTAGTGTCGCGCGGCGAGGGAGGCCTCGAATTGAAAAAAATGATAAATTGCGTTGCGTTCGATTCGTTTCATCGTCGCTCATCGTGCCTCCCTTCCCTTCCTCCGCTCGGATATTATAACATTAAAGAGAAAATTATTGTTAGCGGTGTTACGGCTATCCGATTAGTTTTTTTTTTTTNTTTTTTTTTTTTTTTNTTTTTTTTTTTTTTTTTTACGTTTTCAAACTTTACCCGGCCCGCGGACAAATTTCATTATAATAATTAAATGCTCTTTTTAAACGTAACGATGAGATAAAATTAGTAGAGATGGGGGGGGGGGTGGGAAATTCTTCGAAATTCGGAACTCGATATTACGGATAATACGATTTTTCCACGTGCGTACATACGTACGCTTTCGAAGCGACGTATCTATTCTAGGAGAAAAAAAGGAAAAAGAAAGTTGGGCGTATACAGAATTTCATCCCTGGTTTCTCGTTCGAAGATAAAACCCAGATACAGATTTTCAAAACCTTGCTCCCGCGATTCGGGAAAGCCGGGCTCCGTGTCTCTCCTCTTTTTATTTTTCCCCCTCTCCTCCTCTTCTTTTCGCTCGCGTTGGCGCGCGCTCGGCGCGCCCGT